GTTATGGTTAGTTATATGTGTAGGTTTCAGGATCCTTCACCTAGTTGAGAAGAAGGCTAAGGACAGTGAGTGCAGCCAACACCTGTGTCCAGTGTATGGAAAAAGGATGAGGAAAAGGAGCCCTGAAGATGGAACAGCCAGAATCCTGCCCATGTACAGAGAGGGAAATACCAAAATGGAGCTCAGGAAAATGAAGATGCTCGCATGGTGTGGTTGGCCCTAGTCTTCTTGGGAACATCGAGAAGCAACTGAAGCAACGGGAGGAGGAATGATCTTTAGTCAGGGGGTTATCAAGGATGCAGTTTTTCAGAGAAATGCAAGGAATTTGAAGAGCGAGTGGTCTGGCAACTGACCATTTAAGTAACCTTCAAGAGAGCAGAACTGGGGAGTGGAAACCAGATTATGAGGGTTTTGGGAGCCAGTGGATGATGAAGAAATGAAATGGAATGTTAATTTGAGGGGGTAAATAGCAGGTTTAAGAGGTTTTGGTTTTGCTTTTATTTGACATTTGGGATAGGAAAACTTCAAGCACTTTTCTAAGGGGAAGAAGGGACTGGCAAGGCATTGAAGATGCAAGAGACAGAACTGGGATAGCATGGGGTGGGGTGGGACCAACACCTTGGGTGGAACTGTTGCTATCCTTGGAAAGATTTCTTTCTCTGAGAGGGCAGGCAGGAGAACAGGGTGGGTACAGATGGAGAATAGTAAGGGGAAGAGGGGGGGGATTTGACTAAGTTTTGTTGAATAATATGAAAAGTCTGAGGAAACAAGAATGTGAAATTATGGCAGTAACTAAGTGGTTCTGAGAACAGAAAAATTTGGGACAGTTACTAGTGGACATGCGGCTGGGAGTCAACCAGAGATCTCTACAAGTATTGTCAACCATGGGTGTGCTGTGGGAATTCTATGTGAGGTAACTCTTGGTTTTGCAGGACTGTCTTGTGTGTTACAGAAAGTTTAGCATCACTGGCTCCTGTCCACTCAATGCCAGGATTGTTCACCTGTCATTGTGATAACTGAAAAAACTCCCATTAATTTCTTAATGCCCTGTGTTGAGAATCCCTTATCTGACATTAGGTGGCCTGACACTACAGGAGAATCAAATCACACTGGATACAGCCTTCCCCAGTAACACTTAGAAAACTAATATCAGAGTTCAGTAGTTTTGTTTTTTTTTTTTAATGTGCTTGGAATTCTTTTTTTTTTTTAGTTTTTAAATTTAAATTTCATTTTTTTAATTTTTGGCTGTGTTGGGTCTTCATTGCTGTGTGCGGGCTTTCTCTGTTTGCAGTGAGTGGAGGCTACTCTTCGTTGCGGTGCACAGGCTTCTCATCGTGGTGGCTTCTCTTGTTGCAGAGCACGGGCTCTAGGGGCGCGGGCTTCAGTAGTTGTGGCACACGGGCTCAGTAGTTGTGGCTCGCGGGCTCAGTAGTTGTGGCTCGCGGGCTCTAGACTGCAGGCTCAGTAGTTGTGGCACGTGGGTTTAGTTGCTGCGTGGCATGTGGGATCTTCCCGGACCAGGGCTCGAACCCTTGTTCTCTGCATTGGCAGGTGGATTCTTAACCACTGCGCCACCAGAGAAGCCCAGAGTTCGGTAGGTTTAAAAGCTTTGATAAGGAGACAGTAGCAGAGTTACTCCTAGATTTTTTTCCCCCATTGATTGAGGATATGTATGTCATCCCTGACAAACTGCCATAGATCTGTTTCCAGTTAGAGCAATTGCTAAGCACACACAGCATTTTAGAGCCAAATACAGTTGCATGGGAGATTAATTATTGCCAATTCAGAAACATTTTTATAGACAACGTATGTCTAAGCCCTGATTCAAATCCTGGATTTAGAAGCCTGACCCTTGGCCCCGGATGTTGGGGTGGGGAGCGATCACAGTAATAAAAGTCCCACAAAGGAGGCTTAAAGGAAATCCGAGGACTCAGCCTGGAAGAGGGCCCCTGCTGAGGCCTCCGGGCCGAACACTGCTATCCCACACAAACCCAGCTCAGGGCTTGGGGGTGAAAATATAGCTGCTGATTTGCCCCAACAAACATATCCTGGAAATAGACATAGTAGCAGAGCCACCTATGGAAGGCTTGACCTTGCCCAGACAGAGGAAAGGTCTAAGTTTAACAGAGCTCACTGAAACAACTTAGAGGAACTGATAGTACTAGCTCAGGGCTAGACCTCAGCTTCTGCTTATCTGGCTGTCTTATGTTCCTTAAGAAATCCTTGGTAGGCCTCCTAACTCATCCGATCATGACCTCAGCCTTCCTGAGCCTGTCCTGTTTGGCTAAGACAATAAGTTTCAACCTGCGAACAGCTTCGCCCTGTTTTGACCCTGTCTACTGGGTCATGGTCCTCTACTGAGACTTGCCCCAGTGATTCTTCAATCCCAGCCCATTTCAAACTCTCTTCCCACTCAAAACACTGATGGTGACCTGTCTGGTTTTGGTTCTTGTCTGTCTTCCCAAAACTCTTGCATAAACTGCCTTCTAATTTTGTTTATCAAACTCCAGCAGCACTTTTCAGCCCCAAGAGCTAATGATCTGACATTTTCAGACATCTAATATAAGGCAGAGCACTTCATAAAACCCACCTAGAGTGTGAAGGAGTGCCAACTAGCTTTATTTTGGGGTGAAGCAGTGCCAAAAATAACGTAGAGCCTCCCTGTTGCTTTTAGTCAGGCCTAAAACACTAATGAACTAAAATAAAGAAGACTTGCAATGTTTTTAAGTAGGACCACATTCCAAAATCAAAGACTACAGAAAAGATTATTTATATGGAAGTAGTACCATCTATTATACTACCTTTAGCTTTGAATGTTCTAATCGTTGATAATAGATGGCAAATAAATTCATCTTATTATTTCATCTAGTATTCATCTATTATATAGACTTCAATCCTCTAGTCTTAGATTCAACTAAGATATATGAATTTCTAAGTCAGCTATCAGAAAATGAAGTTAAATAATAATGAACTCATAATCTGATTAAAAGAAAAAATTGTATAGTTTATATTTTCATTGCAAATATTATCTTTAAAGAAAACAACATAATCATGTCAAACAATATATATAGAGTTTTAAAATGTATATACTATCCCATATTTTTAATATATTTCTTATGTCTTTAAAAACTCTAATTTTAAAAAAGTTAGACTATTTACATTTCACTTAGATTGAGCAACCAAAAGAAATTTACATTTCTTTAATAAATATTCTCTGGCATATGATTCAATTATATTAAGATTCTGAAACTGAGGCAACATTTAAAGGGCCAATATACCATTTCCATCATGTTTTTCCCTAGCCCATGGCACACAGCTTTCTCCCATCTCCCAGGTTTAGTATTTGGACCACCCAGTTCAACATTTATCAAAGGGTCTCATGTTGACCTCTAGATGCTCCAAATCTTGTCAATTGAACAGGTGTAGAAAGCATGCCAATTTAGCAAGACCACCAATTCATTTTGAAGAATAAAGATCAAGTCTTCTGCTTTTTTGTTCTTCCCATAATGTGGGCAAAAGATAAAAGTCCTAGGATCAAAATAAAAGCTATTGATCTCCTAATTCAAAATCAACACCCTCACCTATTTATAAGTCCTAAATATAGATGTCGTAATTCAATCACTTAAGATGAGCCATATCTTATAACTGAATTCCCTTCAGGCAGTTCTTTATGCAGAATATGCTGGAAATAATCTTCCAAGGCTTGAGCAGTTAGAAATCTTTTTAAGTACGGGTAGTAGAGAGGGTGCCGTGTTGTGATGCCTATTGTATACAAAACAGCACATTCATAAGCACTTATGCTGAAGATCGATCAAGATGACTTGATAATTTGAAGTATCTTACTCTGATTCACTGAGGATACTGTGTGTCAGGTGGGGATGGGAGAGATGAGGGGACTTGGTGGGAACACAGCATCAAATTGTTGCCATCAGAGTGAGTCTCCTGGCGGTGAATGTCATTCTCCCTGTTTTGGCAATGTCCAGAGTTTCTCTAATTTAGGGTTGCCAGATTTAGGTATGTCTCATTTAGGGTATAGGGCATACTTATACTAAAAATTATTCATTGTTTATCTGAAATTCAGATTTTACAAGACATTCCTTGTTTTATCTGTCAGCTATAATTATCTCAAGGGGTATTATGGAATTCTAAGAAAATTTATTTTCATTCCTTTACGTTTTGAAACTAAGCATATATCATATAAGGGGATGGAAGATAGATGCAAAATCAAATGAAGGATATTAACTTCAAAAGACTATGAGTTTTAGAGGTCAAGGACCTTGACTATCATGCTCACTGCTCTTCCCACCCACAACTGATATTGGAGGGAATTTTTTTTTTTTGAGTAAAAATTAGCAGATATAAGTATCTCAATTTTTTTGCAGATGCAAACTCTTCTCTTTTATCATCAGGAATAAAAGGTTGGCTAATCCATTCCTTTTAGTCACCTCAACTCAAACAGCTCAAATAAACATAGCAGGTGTTGGGTAAAGCTGACACACACACACACACTAACTGTGGCTATAACCCAGATTGCTTGCCTGGTATAGATGGAGTGTCAATGTAGTCACTGTTTATAGGACTGAAGACACAGGCAACTTTAAAAGGAACTTGTAGATGTGCCTTCTTTACTTTACTATTTAGAGAACATTAGGGAAAGGAAGATTTAAAGGGAACTCTTGGCAAAAGGCCAACTCAAAGAAGAAATGCATTATAATACTATGAAATAGGACTGGATTTTCTGGCCAGGTGTGTTTAAAATATTTATTTTTGGTGAAAATGATTTATTATACTGAGAGCCATGAATTATTTTAAGCACACATTTTTGTTTTATTTATTTGTTATATCAGTAAGAAAATAGCTATATAGTATTGGACAACTTAATGTAACTTAACCAGTATAGTAAACAAAAACTTTAATTGTTTGAATCCAAATGAATACTTACTAAATGACTGAAATCAATTTTAGAGATGTAAAGACTAGTTTTTATAAGCAAAACATACCTATATTCACAGAGTTGCCTTTGTCCCCACTTCTTGTATAGGCCAGATCTTCTAAGCGATAAGTCAGTGAGCCACTTGGTAGATATGCCAATGGAAGAAAATTGAAGAGACATAAAAAATTAAGAGGTGGTCATATGGAATATGGCTGTTCCAATTTGGGTGTTATACAGAGCAGCTTATTTGGTCAAAATTAGATAATCTCTTTTTGGAGGAATCTTCTCTCAGTACTGTAGGTTGGATATATGTTCCTTTAGACTTCTAAGAAAGCTTAATATTTATGTGGCATAAATATGCTTTGCTTTAAAAAATCCAATTTTTATGTAAAGCCAATAATAAAATAAGAGTAGGTGCTGCAATGAACATTGGGGTGCATGTATCTTTTCAAATTATGGTTTTCTCCAGGTATATGCCCAGGAGTGGGATTGTTGGATCATATGGTAGCTCTAATTTTAGTTTTTTAAGGAACCTCCATACTGTCCTCCATAGTGGTTGTACCAATTTACATTCTCACCAACAGTGTAGGAGGGTTCCCTTTTCTCCACACCCTCTCCAGTACTTATTGTTTGTAGATTTTTTTATGATGGCCATTCTGACTGGTGTGAGGTAATACCTCACTGTAGTTTTGATTTGCATTGCTCTAATAATTAGTGATGTTGAGCATCTTTTCATGTGCTTTTTTGGCCATCTGTATGTCTTCTTTGGAGAAATATCTGTTTAGATCTTCCACCCATTTTTGGATTGGGTTGTTTGTTTTTTTGATATTGAGCTGCATGAGCTGTTTGTATATTTTGACCTGCTGTATAGCACGGGGAACTCTACTCAGTACTCTGTAGTGGCCTATATGGGAAAAGAATCTCAAAAAAAAAAGAGTGGATATATGTATATGTATAACTGATTCACTTTGCTGTACGCCTAAAACTAACACAACATTGTAAATCAACTATACTCCAATAAAAATTTTTTAAAAATCAGAAAAAATAATGAGAGTAGGTGATGATGTCAGTTGAGATATTCACAACATCGTAAATGAGTTGGACCTGCATAATTGCTGGAAAGTTAAATATCTACAGTGCCATTTAACAAATGGGAAGAAGAAATATTCAGATTTTTTCTTTTTATGATGCCAAGTAAAAATTGTCACTCGCCATCTGCCTCTACAAGGATTAGGTCACTAGCCACTGCAGTCGCTGACCTTCAACACACCCTGAAAGGAGTTCACAGTGGAGATCAGGAAGGAGGCACTCTGTGCTTTGGAAAAAACTGGCAAATAGGCTTTCAGATAGTTGATATTTTCAGAAGACTGTATGAGCCCAATTTCTTGTATCTTCTCTTGAAGATACTACATCTTGAAAAAGCACTAAAATCATTAATGGAGACATCTGCTCCTCGTGACTCTGCAAAATATGTGTGTAACTGCTCATAGCCCCTTCACTAAAATCATATATAACACCGACTTTCCCCCTACCTCTTCAGAGCACTTCCTCAGAGCTATTTGAGAGGCTGTCTCCTGGGCTGTAGTCCTCATTTTGCCCCAAATAAAACTTAACTCACAACCCTCATGTTCATTTTTTTTTTCTGTCAACAATAATGCTTTTGTGGGAAAATAACATTTTGTTTAGACACTAAATTCACAACTCATCTTCCTGGGAAAACAAAATTTTATAGATACTCTCTAAGGTTGAAGAGCATTTAATTTAATACAGGGAACTATGCAATAAATACCAGTTCACCAAGATAAAGATAAAAAATGTGCAATACCAATAAGACCTCCTTAAAATGAATTAATAAGAAAACTAGTCCAAAAAGCGGGAAAAAAAATCCTCAATTGTAAAATACCTTTAAAGCAAATTTCATAAGCATACAAAAATCAAATTTATGCCAAGAAGCACATGGACAATTACACTGTAAAAGCTTTGAATACATAGGCAGTCCTCACTTTGCACATTTCCAATATGCAAAAATTCCAGTTATCAAAATTTGGTTGATTAACATCAGTCCCCCAACAGCATGGTTCTGATTTCAGTTACCAAGATATATCGACTGGATGTAATTGCAAGGTCATTATTCAGTTCATGCACACACAAAGTGTGTAGTTGTGTTGCTTCCCTGTCTGTCAGTGACAAACCCACACAACATTTTACAAAAATGGATCACTGGAAGAGAGACCTGGCCAAGAAAGATGAAGGTGTACCAAAAAAAGGATAAGTGATATCAGGGGAAGTAAAATTCAGATCAGTTGTAAAGGAATTACAGAAGGAAGAGCTGACAGGAGGAATGCTGACACTGTCAACATTTGAAAGACTAGATGTGCAGCCAGAAGAAATGAGTGAAGGCAAACTTATCAACATAAAGGAAGAAAATGATTGTGATTGAAAGGATGAAGATGTCCCAGAAGAAATGATGCCTGCTGAAAGAAAATCTTCACCTTAAAGGAATTCTTAGAGATATTTCACAACAGTGAAAGCACAAGGGATAAAATGTTGGAAGCTGATCCAAACGTGGGGAGAAGCATGACAAGTCAGAGTAGACTTGTGGATTTATTTTAGTTTCCTGAAACTGAGTCTCTAAAAGGCTGAGAGCCTTCCTAAGCTCTCCCTCTCTTTCTGATTCAAATGCTTCATGACTATTTCCCATAACCACGACTGCCTTTTGTGTGCCCTTCCTACCTTCACTAGAGTGTTACCTCTCCCTCCTCGTAGGAGAGGATCATTTTTCTGAACGTTTGCCTCTCAGAATCCAGGCTAAAATCTAGCCTTCCATTTGTGCAGACCAATTCTTGACTTATGCAACAATAACCTTTATATTTGCTTGGATCCTTTCATCCTGGAAGAGAGGAGAGATCAAGTGGAATTGTAGGCTCATCATCTTTCTCCCTGAAAAGTGGAGCCTGTTCGGTCTACTCAGTCTCTTTCATGAACTAAACCCCCAGCTCTGTCCTGCATGCTACTCCCAGGTCTCACCAGGCCCTGGCCTCAGGGAAACCACACTAGTACTTCTTGCCACAGTGTCCTACATACTTGCCATATCATCTTTATAGACCCCAAAACATACACTGGAAGAAAGAATAAGTAATGTAAAATGGAGAGAATACTGCTTTGGCAGAAAATACCAGTAGCGAAAATGAACATACCTTTTAGGTCATCTATCTTGGGTAAGTTTGGTGGAGTCAATGTGTCCAGTGTAAAGGTGAGATCTTCCTGAAGAGTTTCAGCATGTTCTCCATTAATGTAGATATCAACCTGAAAAACAAATTTTTTTTAAGCCAGGAAATGGGGAAAATAGATATTATGAGTAAGAAAGTCTGCACTTATTTAGTTTAATTGGAATACGAATTGGTTGGTTCTTTACTCCCCCCTTGGAAGTTCTGTTTTTGAAGCTTTTACAAACTGCACGGAGCTGACTGCATTGTTGCTCCTCAGTGCAAACAGATAATGCATAACCTGCTTCCAACTTCTATTTTCTTCTGCTTCTGAGCAAGCATTCCTCTCTCAGGCCTGCTTGCCTCTGCTTGCTGTTGGTGAGGACAGAGTAACAATGAACTCTAGCTGGTAGTCTGGGGCAAACTAAGATGAAGAAGCACTAACAAGTATGGACCTGTCACTGACACTGGAATCAAAGACTTTGTTTCTTGAGAATTAATGACTGATGGCTGCCTCACTGGTACAGCTCCCTGGAAAAGCATTTCCAGCTTCCTTACCCTGTCTTCCAAGAATTGAGTCAGGTCTGAGGCATACCTTTTCTCAAGTGCCAGAGCCTCACAATGGAGCTTTCTGTGTCAAAAGCAACGTCAGCCTTATCTTTTTATCAGAGTAGGGTGAACCTGGCTCACGCACTAATGAACAGTCAACTCACATTTTGACAGGGAGTCTAGAGTAGCATGTCTTTTATATTGTTTTATATGGCTGCATTAGTTTATATGATTATACAAGGGTGGAGCCGTAGCTGCTTGTTCTATGAGTCCTAACGCCTAGACAGTCAGTTCCTGCAACATACAAGCTCTCAGTAATTGTCATACTAAAGGTAAGAATTTTGTTTGTTTCTCAAAGCTTCCCTTGCAGTTACTCTTGATCCTCTTCATCAGCAATCCCCAACCTTTTTGGTATCAGGGACTGGTTTCATGGAAGACAATTTTTCCATGGACGGGGTAGGGGGGACGGTTTTGGGATGATTCAAGCGTATTACATTTATTGTGCACTTTATTTCTATTATTATTGCATTGTAATACATAATGAAATAATTATACAATTCACCATAATTCAGAATCAGTGGGACCCCTGAGCTTAATTTCACTTGCCACTCACTGACAGTGTTTTGATATGACTCTGCAAGCAATTGATTTATTATGGTCTCTGCGCAGTCAAACCTCTCTGCTAATGATTGCCTGTATTTGCAGCCACTCCCCAGTGCTAACATCACCATCTCAGCTCCACCTCAGATATCACGCATTAGATTCTCATAAGGAGTGCACAACCTAGATTCCTTGCATGCTCAGTTCACAGTAGGGTTCGAGCTCCTATAAGAATCTAATACCACCGCTGATCTGATAGGAGGAGGAGCTCATGCAGCAATGCAAGCGATGGGGAGTGGCTGTAAATACAGATGAAGCTTCCCTCACTTGCCCCCTTATCACCTCCTGCTGTGTGGCACGGTTACTAACAGGCCACAGACCAGTACTTGTCCGTGGCCCAGGGGGTGGGAACCCTTGCTGTTCATGACCAATGCAAGTGTTGTGAGAACTGGAACCAAGGTGCACAGAGTAGGCAGGCAATAAACCAGTTGCAAGGGTATTCTGTATATATTCCAGGATGATTTTTGTCTCCAAGATGTTCCATCTAAACAAATGGCATCTTCACTCTCCTCCCAGCCTGTCCAGCTGGCTTAACACTGCTGCTTAGTTTTTCTTGCTTAAGGTTACTAAGGCAAAAGCAACTGATTAACTGTGCCACTGTCATTTTAATATACAAATGGTTCACAGCTTGTTCATGCTTCTCACCATTGCAAGCTCTGGGCAAAACTGAGCTCTCTGACAATAACTGATTTCACTCATTTTACAAGGTGATATGGCAAAAATGGACGCAACCATACTGAATGCTATTACTAGTACTTCCCTACAGATTCTCATTCAGGATATGCTTCTTCCAAATGTTAAGAAATATACTGAAGCAGAGGCATTTGAATATTTACTCTGATAAATTATCTTTCAAATATTTCCAGATGGAGACCTTCACTAGCTGTGAATTACTTTATCATCCATTTTTCTATTGTTTATGACTTCACAGTGACTGATGAGATTAAATTAGCAGTCTTGACTCTTCATTAACAGGTGAAGAGGAGGTTTTTTTAAAATCAAATGATAAAAATGAGTCATAAATCCCTTTTAAAAAGGTAGCTTTATACTCATGCCATACATTAGCAGTCCTAGAAACTCCTTGTCAATTTGTTATGGCCCAAATTTCCAATATCTATATAAAAAATCTGCAGATGGCATTGATTGGTGATGCTACCCACTCCTTTTCCATCATGGAACATTTCCATCATTCTCTATGATCAATGAGACTGGGTCATCTTGATGACAATCTAGTTTCAGTGATATTACAGATAATTGAAAACTTGGCAGCCATATTGCCAAAAATCAGGTTGCCGTGAATCCCACCAAATGAATTCATCAATGTAAAATATTATATTGTGTTATTGTACTTTCTCAAACTCTAAGCAATTTGCTTTTCACAACAGAGGACAATTCAGGAAGATCACAGTTTAGGTGGATTATAAGGACAAGTCCAGAAATCCCTACACAGGATATATTTTCTATGGCCTTTGACAAAGATGAAGTAATTTCTAGGAAGCTTATTTTTGAGAAAAGTAAAAGTCTCACATACTTCCATTTGGAGTTAAAGGAGAAAATAGAAAAAGAAAAGAAATTACTTTGAGAGATAGTGGCTTACAAATTTCCAGAATGAATGAAAAGAACAAATTATCTAGTACAAGAAACCCAATGAATCTCAAACAAGGTAAGAAGGAATGGATAGCTAGACACAACAGGGTGAAACTGTAGAATCTCAAAGAGAAAAAGGAAAGGCCAGGAAAGAGAAGCGGCCTTACCACTGAAGGACCGCCAAACTGAGCTGATTTTTCAGTGGCAATAGTGGAATATCAAGTGCTACCACATCCAGTCTACAAATATTCTCAGTAAAATTAACTTTCAAACATAGAGGATAAATAAGCTCATTTTTTAAGACTTTACCCTTTACCCCCACGTAGCCACAGCCTTCCCCACTATCAACATTATCCACCAGAGTGGTATATTTGTTACCAAGGGTGAACCTACATTGACAGCGTTATCACCCAAAGTCCATAGTGTACTTTAGGGTTCACTCTTGGTGTTGTATATTCTATGAGTTTGCACAAATGTATAATGATATGAATTTTTTTTTTTTTTTTTTTGTGGCACGCGGGCCTCTCACTGTTGTGGCCTCTCCCATTGCGAAGCACAGGCTCCGGACGCGCAGGCTCAGCGGTCATGGCTCACGGGCCCAGCTGCTACGCGGCATGTGGGATATTCCCGGACTGGGGCATGAACCCATGTCCCCTGCATCGGCAGGCGGACTCTCAACCACTGTGCCACCAGGGAAGCCCTGATATGTATTTATCATTACAGTATCATACAGAGTATTTTCACTGTCCTAAAAGTCCTATGCTTCACCTAGTCATTCTTCCCTCCTCCCTATCCCTGGCAACCACTGATCTTTTTACTGTCTCCATAGTTTTGCCTTTTCCAGAATGTCATATAGTTGGAATTACACAGTATGCAACCTTTACAGATTGGCTCATATCATTTAGTAATATACATTTAAAATTCCACCATGTCTTTTCATGGCTTGATTAACAATAATATTCCATTGTCTGATATACCACAGTTTATCTATTTACCTACTGATGGATAATCTTGGTTGCTTCCAAGTCTTGGCAATTATGAATAAAGCTGCCATAAATATCTTTGTGCAGGATATTGTATGGACATAAGCTTTCAGCTCGCTTGGGTAAAGGAACATGACTATTGGACCATATGGTAAGAGTATGTTTGGTTTTGTAAGAAACTGCCAAACTGTCTTCCAAAGTAGCTGTACCATTTTGCATTCTTACCAGCAATGAATGAGAGTTCCCATTGTTCCACATCCTCACCAGCATTCAGTATTGTCAGTGTTCTGGATTTTGGCCATTCTAATAGGTGTGAAGTGGTAACTCATTGTTTTAATTTGCATTTCCCTAGTGACATATGATGTTGAGCACCTTTTCATATGCTTATTTGCTATTTGTTTATCTTCTTTGGTGAGGCATCTGTTAAGGTCTTTTGCTCATATTTTAAGTAGGTTATTTGTTTTCTTATTGTTGAGTTTTAATAGTTCTTTATACATTTTAGATAACAGTCCTTTATCAGATATGTCTTTTGCAAATATTTTCTCTCAGTCTGTGGCTTATCGTCTCATTCTCTTGACAGTGTCTTCAATGGAGCAAAATTTTTTAATTTTAAAGAAGTCCAGCTTATTGATTATTTCTTTCATGGACTGTGCCTTTGGTGTTGTATCTAAAAAGTCATTACCATACCCAAGGTATATAGGTTTTCTCCTGTTATCTTCTAGGAGTTTTATATATATTTTGCATTTTACGTTTAGGCCTATGATACATTTTGCATTAATTTTTGTGAAAGGTGCAAGATCTTTGTCTAGGTTCATATTTTTGCATGTGGATGTCCAGTTGTCCCAGCACCAGTTGTTGAAAAGGCTATATTTTCTCCATTGAATTGCTTTTATCACCTTTGTCAAAGATTAGTCAACTGTACTTGTGTGAGTCTATTTCTGGCCTTTCTATTCTCTTCTATTGATCTGCCTATTCTTTCACCAATAGCACACTGTCTTGATTACTGTAGCTTTATAGTAAGCCTTGAAGTTGAATTCTCCAACTTTGTTCTTCTCTTTCAACATTGTCTTGGTTATTCTGGGTCCTCTCCACATAAACTTTAGAATCAGTTTGTCTATATCCACAAAATAACTTACTGGAATTTGGATTGGGACTGTGTAAAATCTATAGAGCAAGTTGGGAAGATCTGACATCTTGACAAGATTGAGTCTCCCTATCTGTGAACATGAAATATCTCTCCATTTATTTAGTTCTTTGATATCTTTCATCAGAGTTTTGAAGTTTTCCTCATACAGATCTTGAACATATTTTGTTAGATTTATACCTAAGTATTTCATATTTTTCTACATGCTAATGTAAATAATAATGTGGTTTTTATTTCAAATTCCATTTTTTAACTGCTGGTATATAGGAAAGTGACTGGCTTTTGCATATTAGCCTTGTATCTTGCATCCTTGCTATAATTGCTTATTAGTTCCAGGAATTTTTTGTTGATTCTTTCAGATTTTCCACATAAAAGATTATCTCATCTGTGAACAAAGGCAATTTTCTTTCTTTCTTCCCAAACTGTAT